TTTGAGATATATATAAAATTTTGCTGAAACCTCCTGACAAGTGGACTAAGTGATTACAAAAGTTTGTCTACAAAACTTTGGAGTGCTGAATATAGCATCAATCAGCTAAGTGAAAATTTTATCTGTATTTATATATATATATATATATATATATATATATATATATATATATATATATATATGGCGCGATGGGTAAATTGTCGCCGTTTTATATTTTTAATTTCATGCATGTGCATTTGTTTTTGATTTTGTCAACTGCACAGTATGGTAGGCTCAGTTGGGCACCATCTGTGAAAAATAGCGTACCATGATGCAATTCACTCCCCAGAAATTTAGAAACAGTATGCTGTACTGCTTGGCATTCATGCTGGAAGCTCTAATACGAACATTTCAGAATGTTTGGGTGTCAATCTGAGCTTTGCTTAACTTTGATACAGGAGGGGTGTGCGCGCATGTGTATGTATGTATTTATGTGTGTGTGTATATATATATATAAAATGTTTCTTGTCCATTATATTCAATAAAATACATACACACAAATATGTATGTGTGTGTTTGTGTATATATATATATATATATATATATATATATATGTGCACAGTGCTTAATGGAAAGCACTCAATATCACTGATACAGCTAACTCATATCCATACAACTTATATAATATGTGTGAGTGTGTGCGCATTTTCAAGACACTTGAAATGTCAGCTCTTAGCATTTGTGTAGACATATAGTATTGTACAATGCAACCTGTTTTATGATGTGTTTTTTAGCTTAGTCTGTACTTCAGACTATTCAGTTGAAACCAAAAATGGCTATGCCAATAAGAAATCATTATCAAACTTTCTATAATAATAATGGTGTGGGACTTACCAACCATAAGACCTGCATTTGAATATCACCAAAATTGATTTGTCTGGAAGGTGACTTCTTGATGTCATCAGACTGGAGAGACGATTACTGCATGTGGCATTGTTGGATATGTTGCATATGTTGTTAAGATTACATATACTGATAATAAATCCACATAGGTCAGGTTTTTTTGTTTAATAACAATACTGGAAAATTTGCACACATTTTATATTTGAAGACATTTCAAAGAAAACTTATACTTAACATTAGGAAGAGACAGTTGAAATGTATAGTGTACATAATGGAGAAAAATGGCCTGGGAAACCTGATACTTACAGGACTTATAGAAAGCAAGAGGAACAGAGAAAAACTACACACAGCCTACTTAGTGGGCTTGAGTAAATGTGCTTGTTTTGTCTTTTGTGAAGAAAAAAGTTTAATTTCTCATTTAGTTTTAAGATTAATGGCAGTAATGATTTTGGACAACTGATACAGTTTAGTTCATAAATTAAGTCTGAAAGAAATTTCATTTTCTGTTTACTTCTGAGTTTCAGCAAAAATGAGGGGTGTGAAGAGACCCCAACCTCACCATTTCATACCATGGATGGCCTACACGGACATACATATACACATTTCCTGCACTTTTGGTTAACATTATGTTGCTGCTTCTGCAGCAACATAATGTGTTATGAAGTCATGCCATGAAGTCATTGAGCCCGAGGAGACCAACCTGGTCTCACTAACTGTAACAGCCCTGGCAGAGTGTCAAAACATCCTCTAGCGCCAGATTAATCTGCTGGAGATCCTGGTGGATAATGTCATTCCAGTGGCAGCATGGTGTGCCATGAAATCATCACCAGCTAGCAGATGGCCAGTCAAACTGCTAGATGACTTTGGTAGGGTGGTCATCAGGTTGTTACAGGACTTGACCAAGCCAGCTAACATGTTGCTGAGTGATAATGTGAAAGATGTTTTACTGGCCAGTCCTTTGCTGGAGCTTCTCATTTGATATCGGATTGATCCTGAAATTGTGAGACTCAACGTCATGGACACTGAAGGCAGGGGTTTATAACACCTCAGTCCTTTTCTGTGCTACTATATGGTACTGAGACATGGCCTCTCATAACACATAGTTCATAAATTTAATTAGTATAAAAATGTTTAAAACAAGACAATATATGCCCCTTCCACTGTCACTTGTGTTGCAATCCTTAATAAATATTAACATCAAAGTGTAATATCTGTTTTTCCAATTCAGTGAATTTGCTAATATCATCGGAAGAAAAATCTTAAATATTGAACTAAAAAAAGAACTGATATTACTTCTAAAAATGTGGTTAGACTAATAAAACTTGTCTTGTATATAAAATTAATAAATATTATTAGGAGTGCACAAATGTTGACATTCCAGAATAACAAATAAAAACAGTTCCAATTTTCAGAAAAAAATTTTTGAGTACATTTAACGCATATCAAATGATGTCGTCTCTAAATTTTTCATTTTATGTCATTTTCAGAAATTATAGATGGACTTGCCCATAGACTCACAATTCCTTGTGCCAAACTGAAGCCAGTCTTGACAGATCTTTCCAAAGATATGCGTGATGCATGGGAGATAGAAAGAAGTTCTGTTGAGCTCATAGAAAGAATTGGAAGTGGCCAATTTGGTGAGGTGTGGCGAGGTAAGTAATGTCAAAAAGTAAATAAAAGATACTTTCTGGAAAAGATTAATACTAAACAACAAAGTGACATGTACAAATTCAAATTTATAACTATTTTTAATTATGTATGAAGTTGAATCAAATGTAACTGACACTTAACTTCTGATAATGAAATTAAATTTATAATTTCTAGTTGAGCCTGAGATTGAGTGAAATATAATTGAAACTTAACTTCTCATAATTTAAATTAATAATTTCCAGTTGAGTCTTAGGTTGAGTGAAATGTAAATGAGGCTTAAATTCCCATAAGGAATTCAAATTTATAATAATTTCCAATTATTGAATTGATTCCAGTATTGAATCAAATATAATTGAGTCTCAACTTCCCATAAGGAATTCAAATCTATAATTATTTCCAGTTGAGCTTGAGGTTGAGTGAAATGTAATTGACTCTTAAATTCCAATAAAAAAATTTGATCATCTTGCTACCAGCAAAATGACAGGTACCATATTAGAGTTGCTAAAATTTCAGGATATATTTATATGGGCAACTGTCATTGTTGGCACCCACTTACATCCAAGCATCAGGGTCATCATCCTCTCTCCCTATTCCCTTTCTCTCCTCTGGTGGTGAAGATGGCTATGAATCAAAGAGTTTGACAAAGCCATTCACATAAATTTGATTTTGGTGGACAACTCTGCATGACAGAAAAACTCACACACTTGGCCAGAAGCTTTCCTCATGGCTTAAAGTGAGCAGGTGAGATCTAGCAAATTCAGTTGCATTAGGCAATGTATCCTTTGAGTTTCACCTTATAATATCTATCCTGCTAGGTCAATTATGATTGTGTAGTGAGTTTGATCCTCACTGAGTGATCCATGCTTCTGGATTGTGTCACATCTAGGCTTCACTTAATAAATCATTATAATATCTATCCATGTTAAAATTATTGATCATAACTTATTTTGTGGTATGCCAGGTTTAATGATGCCATCAAAGTGTAACATGAGTTTTTATTCCTTAAAAGACATTGGTCAGAGAAACATATTTGATCAATGCAATGTTCCATATGCCTGAATAAATCATTATTTTATTATTTTGCATGTTAATATAGGCTCTTTTATGTTTTGTAACCAAAATCAGGGTATGTCAATGTTAACATTGCCACAGTTTTTATTGCCTTTCACAGATTTTTTTTCTTGTATGATGATCCATGAGATTTCTGAGGCCATTTTATTGATTTTGTGTCTTTTGAAAACTTTTTTTTTAGAAAGGTTGTATTAGTTTTTAAAAAGTTGTAAGTATAAAATTATTCTTGTAAATAAACAATCTAATAAATAAATAAGGTTTAATATTTTTGTTGTAAATTCTCAAGAACAAAAATAAATGTATAAATTCACTTTCATCATGTATTTAGGTTTTATTCCAATTCTTATTTCTTTTTAAAACAACATTACCAAAGTTTGAAGGTAGTTAAAAAAGCAGTTTCATGGGAAAAATTATCCTTTTGACACTACGACTTATTGTGGGCATAAAAGTCATTTTTTTCCCAAAATTTATTGTGAAAACAATGACTTGCCCAATAAAATATGATATAGTGTACAAAGACAATGCTGAGTTAAAAACTGTTCAGCTTGGTTCATTGGTGTATGTGCCATCCAAAATGATCATAGAATTTTCACCCCATCTAAACAACATTCCAAAATTGAACATCTACAAAACGTTAAAAAAGAATTCAATGATTGCATTTTGTTTTGTTTTGACCACGGATAAAAAGAAAAAAAAAAAAAATGGAAAAAAATTTTTAAAAGTAATTAGAAAAAATATTTTCAACATAGAATGTTATTAGATTAATAATATAGGCACTATGAAAAATCCCCTAAAAGTAACTAACTTATATTGTAGCCCTCAGTGCAAATGTCCACTGTATTACTTAATCATAAAGTGAAATTACGTAATAATGGCACAGGTGTAATGAAAGGAAAAAAGGCACAACTAATGAAGTCTTTTTGAAGGATGAAAAGCATTATATAGAATTTTATTCCCATTTTTGTCATTCATTTGCCTATCATTATTTTAGTCTGATGAAGTCTTTGAAGAATGAAGTATATTATAGAATTTTCTTACCATTTTACCATTCATTTACCCACTATTAACCTGATATATGAATTTTATATATCATATTCTCCAAATTAGAATTATGAATAAGGAAGATGTATATATAATACTTGTTTTTTGCAATAAAATCTTTTAGGTCTGTGGAATTCAAAAATTGATGTTGCTGTGAAAATGCTGAAGCCAGGATCAATGTCAAAGGAAAGCTTTCTGGAAGAATCGCAAATCATGAAGCGTTGTAAACACAAAAACTTGGTTCGTCTTTATGCTGTATGTTCAATCGATGAGCCTATTCTTATTGTTACAGAACTTATGTGTAATGGAAGTTTACTGGAATTCTTACGTGCAGACAAAAACGCTTCCCTGCCTTTTTCCAACCTGGTTGATATGGCTGCACAGGTGAGCAATAAAATAATTATTTTTACACAAAATTTGTCTAGAAAGCATTCAATCATTTAATATTGTTATACTAAGGTTCATATGAGGCTCTTTGTTCCTCCTTGGTACACACTGCTAACGGAGCAGCCATGTTTACTCTGTAACAGCAGCAAGGATACTAGTGGGATCAAGCTCAAACTTCAATCATATGACCTCAATAGTACCAAATATATGCACTCATGAGCAAAAGGCAGTGTGACAAACCTAAAGATAGGTTATGATGAAAGTGTTAATAATTTTTACTTACCTTCATATATTGCATGAGAGACAGAAGAAACAATGTTGGCAGCAAAATATACGGTGTTTGGATGACCTCTTTAAAAGTTATTGCTAGTGACAAAAATATAATTCTACTAACAGTGCCCATGAAAATTTCACAAGTTTTCTTATTTGAATTTTCTGATGAATCTTAATTCTTAAGATAATTATTAAATAAGTTCCTTGTGAGTTCCAGGGTTGTAAAATATCCATGAAAATTCCCTTATTGCATGGTCGAATATTTAATCATAACAAATTTAACAAAATATTGCAATAACAAACAAATATGAATTCTGGTCATTATTTTTAAAAGTAAGAGGGTACAAATGAAAAGATTTGAAATTAACAAGTTTTTCCATATCATTGAAGCAGACATTAAAAACATGAGTGTTATTGCATCTCATATCTTCTCTTTTTTTTCTTTTTATGTAAGCTTTCATTTTCTCACTAAACCAAACATTGCTTATGGCAGTGGTTCTCAAATGGTGTAGTGTGCATCATATGTGGAGTGGAAGAGGATAGCAGGTGAAGTAGAATGATTTGTGATGTCAACGAACACTCATTGCCCCTTTGGTGATGCCAACGAATACTCATTGTCACTTTCATAATGTTTGTTGTAGTAGAGACATTATAATTACAGATACAACTATAGTAACGCTGTTGAACAATACTGGTGTCAGACGCCTTTAAATATCATTCGCAGTATTAGTACTTGCTCGATAATACTTGCTTGACAAGTAACTTATATCTGAAAAGAGAAATAGTATAATGAATAGAGTTGAGAATAGACTAGAAATGCGATCATTTAGACATCATGCGACTTCCTATATGTGCATTTCCTCTATGGTCATGTGGTCTACTTAATTCAATAATGGGATTGCCAGTGTTTGCTCACTAGCGATCTATGTTCAAACTCAAGTGTTGACAGCGACACTTTATGCCTATATAAACAACCAAAGATTTTGAAACAGTTTCAAAAAATTCATATACCAAAAATAAATATGATTTCAAAATTTTCAATATTATTATGGATTACTTGTAATTGCATGCATGAGTCCCAGTATAAATAGTTATAAATAATTATTGACCAATTTTGTCATTGTGATATTTTTGCACTATATCAAGTATTAAGAATATGGTAACTAGGGTCCACAAATTGGAACAAAGAGAATGGTATTTTGTGTACAATGATCTCTATTATTGGGATATTAGCATTAGCATCTTATCTAAAAACTTTCTTAGTTCATGAACTTTAGATTGGCATATTTACACTTCAGCTGATTAGGAGTTAATATATTCAGCACAACCTGAATTATCAATATAGAGATATTTAATGTTTTATTTTCAGATTGCAAATGGAATGTCTTACCTTGAGGCAAACAAATTCATTCACAGAGATTTAGCAGCCAGGAATATTCTTGTTGGGGAAGCAGAAGTAAAAGTTGCAGATTTTGGTTTAGCTCGGATAATAGAAGATGAAGAATATAATCCAAGAGCAGGTGAATATTCCAAAATAATTTTGCCAGAGATTTTTTTTTTCAAAATCTAGACAATTTCATCAAAAAATTTCCAAAGGTGGAATTTTAATTCAGATAAATTTATACTTGCAGTCTTTGCATCTAACAAATTTAGGTTTTTACCAATTTTTAAAAAGAAAAATTGTCAAACTTATTTACTGATTGGTCAATCAAACATACAGAACAAATGCCATAAATGCTCGGTTTAACAATAATTTTGATTAAGTACACTGACACACAGACTTTTCCCCAAGGGATTTGAAATAAACACCCCAGGGCAACTAAACTGATATATATTGAGAAATGATAGGGTGTGCTTATTTGGATCTGGGAGTTTAAAGACAAGGAGCTAATTTAATCAAAATATGATTTTATTAACTATTTTTGATTAGTCTTTTCTTTCATCATACTTTTGTTAGTGAAGCATTTTCATTATTAATTTTTGATTAGTTCATTTATATACAAGGTAGCCAAAAAAGTTATGTCTGTTTTTAAAGGAAACAAAGAAAATGCTTCACAGTATGTGTAAATTATATTTAGTCTTCGAAGTAATCGCCATCGGCATCTGGCACCTTCTGCCAACGTGTCTGCAGCTGTTCAATGCCCTTGCGGTAGAACTGGGGGGTTGACGCAAAGAAATCCGTGAGGGCTTTGCGTAAGTCTGCTCCATTGGTGAAGGATTTCCCACGAAGATGATTATGCAAGGAGTGGAAGAGGTGGTAATCGGATGGCGCAAGGTCAGGTGAATAAGGTGGATGGCACAAAGTCTCCCACCCAAGTTGCTGTATGGTATTCCTGACCACTTGCGCGATATACGGCTAGGCGTTGTCATGGAGGAAAAGCACACCTTTGCGATTCACCAGTGCTGGCTCCTTCTGGTGCAATGCCTGTTGCACATGTTTCAGTTGCTGCGAGTATAGGTCTCCAGTTTGGCCCATTGGTAGCAGTTCATAATGAACCACTTAACGACCTGTCTACCAGACACAAAGCATAATCTTGTGTGGGTGCATAGGTGGTCTTGCAGTGTGAGGGACAGCATCCTGAGGAGACAATCAATGTCTGGAACGCTTGGGAGTTTCGTACAGAACCCACTTTTCATCACTGGTAAGCACTCGATTGAATAAGGATGTGGTCATCCACTGCGAGGCTCATCATGGAGAAACAAATCTTCCGACTTGAATTTTCAAAAACCAACACCTTGCAGTACATTCATGCACAGCACTATCTCCAAACGTTTGACATATGCGGCAACTTGATGCAGCTTCTGATAAGCCCACTTTGAAGTCTTAAAGCAAACGGCCCCGAACGAGATCTCTAGACACCTCCATTCTTCTCACAGCTGTCCGGCTTATAACTGATGGCCAGGCACGGTGCTCATGTTTTTTATAACATCTGATGTTCCTACTTCCGACTGTCCGAATTTGAAAACAATTGCTTTACGCATTTCATATATATTTCAACTTCATTTAATGACTAATCAAAAAAATGGACAGAACTTTTGGTTATTTTATATATATATATATATATATATATATATATATATATATATATATATATATATATATATTTAATTTATTTGTTTAAACATTATTTTTAAATGGATACACATATTTGAGTAGATGGTGTGTTTTTTTTTATTTCTTTCTTTATTAAACATTGAAGGCCCCTCTTGCCTTCAATATATTCTGTGAGTGTTAAATCTGACAATACCTCTTTCCCCATGATGTCTCAGAAATATCAACTATCAAAGGAATAAACAATAGAAAACAAGTTTATATTGTCTAAAATTTGCTAAATTTGGGGAAATAGTACTTAATATTAAGAATAAGGTTAGATATAAACAGCATGAGCATAGAACTCCACACTGCATGGAAACTATCAGTTTTATGCCTTAAGCAATAAGACTAATATATATGATATTGTGATAATGCAATTTTTTCTTAACAAAATCCATTTACAGGTGCTAAATTCCCAATCAAATGGACAGCTCCAGAAGCAATCCTGAAGTCAAAATTTTCTATCAAATCTGATGTTTGGTCCTTTGGAATTCTTTTAATAGAAATATTTACTTATGGAGAGATACCGTATCCTGGTGAGTAAATAATTTCTATTCTTTTTTTTTTTTCATTGTTAAAGTTTGAAATATATATATATTAAGACATATACATAATATCTTACATTGATTGCACAACAATTGATTGTGCAATCAGTGTAAGATATTATGTATATGTCTTAATATATTAAATAGCTCTGTTCTTTAACATTAAGCACTGTTTTATTCTTACACTGTAGAGTATATATACATGTATTTGTATACCAATGTTTGCTCATACATTTGCCTATATTTATATTTATTCATTTATATATATATATATATATATATATATATATATATATATATATATATATATATATGTGTATATATAATATATATTATATATTATATATATATATTATATATAATTCAGCCCTCCAAAAAGTGTAGTTAGTTCTGTACACAGCCTTCACCACTGTAATCAAATTATATGTACTGGTGTCTAGGTTATCAGTCCCTAGGAACTGAGCTGCTTGATCTTCATATGTTGAATACAACAGAGAGTCCACCATATATATATATATATATATATATATATAATGGCAGATTTCTAATAGTGTGGAATACCTAATTACAAAAGTGATGGAAAGAAAAAGAAAGTGAATCTAAATGAATTTGACTAAAAAAAATATTCTAAAATTACCAGCACCCACTGCCATATGCATGTGAATGAAATATGTCACAAGTAAACTTTTCCATTTTGTCATAAAATTTCCCTAATATATATATATATATATATATATATATATATATATATATATATATATATCAGTCAAGCTTCCAGACACATGCATCAACTCCAGGTCCTATTGACTCACTCTTCCTCGAAGTCACTTCCCTTGCCCACAATGAGATATTCTGTCATGATCCCCTATATCAGTAATATAAACAATTTTATCTTAACAGTTCTTGATTGCTTTTCATCCAAACAGCAGTACTTGTTTCATTTTTTTCTCTCATGTATTCATAACATCATAGCATGGGAAGTTTTTCTGCATGCTTTATATTCCCAGATTTCTTACTGTCAAACTATTTACTTCTTTTGCTCCATTCAACATCTCTTGTTTTGACAGCTGTTGACAAGTTATTGAAAAATTCTATGAATTATTCAAAACCAGTCATTCTTTTATGATGGAATACAAAATTAACCTGAAAATTGATGTAAAAATCCATGATGTAAAAAGCTAGGGAAAAAAACTAAAATGACTGAATCCTAATGTTATGTATTTATATCTTGGAAAAATGATTTTGGAAAAAATTATATATATACAAAATTCTGTGACTTCTATTAGTCTGTCCATCCATCTATCCATCATATACTCTCAAATAGCCATTCATTGATTGATTGAAACCAAATTTTGGGGAGAAGTGCAAACAAGTAAGGGGACCCAAAGTACAGTTGGTTTTACGAGGGTGCATAGTTTAGTACAATAAATTTTCATTCATTTTTTGGAAAAATTAAAATTTTTGTTATTTGACATATAAAAATACTCCCACTATTTTAAAAACAATTTAATGATTAAAATAACAAATTCTTATTTAATAAAAATGCAATATTGTTTTTTGCATATCTTTAAGTTTTTATGTATACAAGAATCAAGTTTCTAGTTCACTCTGCATTTGCAAAAATTATAAACAAATCACATGTCCAAATGCTTCAAAAAGTTGTAATTTGGCTCCAGAAAGAAATATTTATGTATGACCAGTTATACATTGCATACTCAAGAGTAAGAAATTCTAAGATTTTATTCTTCGCTGTTAAAAATAGAAAAAAGAAATTTTCTTAAAAAATATTGTTTACAACGAAGTCCTATAAAGTCGAAGAAGTTAAAATATGAAGAAGGGTTTTTGTCAAAATATTTTTCCAAACAAATCAACAAATTAAAATTTCATCGATTGGCTTGCAAAATTGAACAAAACATAGAGTTCGTAAATCTCAACAAAAAATATTAGTGATAGCTTCAATAATACTAAATACTTTGAGGATTTTAACATACGTCAACATGTTGCAAAAAAATTCTAATACCGCAAAATATTGCATCAAACTAATATGTAAGAAAAATTATTTTTATCTTAAATTGAACTGCTATTTTTTTAAAATATTTATAAATATAAAGCTTTTTTCTTTTAAAATTAAATTTCATACTTTCAATGTCAAAAGTTATGATTTTGAAGCTAATTTGTATGGGGGGAACAAAGAATTAATTTATATTGTATATTGAATAATCTCACATTTTATTTACACTATTATATGCAGACAATTTCCCTCATCTTCGTTATTGTTATTACAATGTTTTAGGCATTGTGTACTTAGGTCTTCATCAGGTAACCTACAGTGAATTCCAAACTGAACCCTTTATTTAACCTATGGGGTGACTGTTCTCATTTCACTATCCTTATCTAGGGATATTTCATCTAGATTTCATAAGAACAGGTTACCTGGATGAATGCCAAAGGGCACAACAACTGGAACATTGTGATAACAACAACAAAGATAAGGACAGTAGTCTGCATGTTCTTTTTCTTCTATGTACCATGCCCCTTTAGGACATTGACAATCCTGATTCTGTACAATTTTCTGTCCTTTGGAGCTCTTAATAAACCTTGTCTTTTTGTTATGACTTCTAAACCCTGTTTTGCCACCCATTTCCTCAAGCTCACTAGATAGATTACACACTGTTTTCCTCTGTCCCTCTTGCCTTTAATCTGTCCTGTAAGTATAAAATTTCCTCTTTCCTTATTATGTACCCTAGAAATTTCTACTTTCCTTTTTGATGTTAAGCATAAATGTCTTTTATTTTTTTTTATCTCTATCTATAAAAGGCAGGATGTGTGTGTAACGAATGCACGGCCGCAATTTTCGACGGATATATGCCAAAATTTACATGCACATGCTCCAAGTTAGCGGGAAGGCCAGGACCAACTTTGCATTTCCCAACTTCCATTGATAGAGGAGATAATCGATTTTTTTCATGCTTCTATGGCAGTTTTCATGTAGTTTGTGGCCATTTTCTACTGGCCAGAGTGAGAGCCAATAGCTGGCTGCCACGAATAGGCAGGAAGATTCTATTGGCCAGCATGAGAGCCAACAGCTGAATGTTAACTAGCATGCTAGCATGCAAAAAAAATCGATAGCTGTATTTGTCACAAGTGGGGAAAAATTTAAATCTGCATGGCCCTTTACTCTAACTGGCTCATTCGCTTGCTTAAACTTAATGTCGATTCTGATTCCGCAGAAAGTATTTGTTGTTAACATTTTTTTTCATTCAGTTTTTCCAGTTACGAGTCCTTCTTTAAAGCTGATCGTTTTGTGTTCATTTTGTTTAGTTCTTTTTTCGTAACAGATTTAATGTTTAGTATAGAGCTTAGAAAAAATTTGCAGTGTGAGATAGGCAAGAATTAAGCCTTGTAGCATAGCAACATCAGCACAAAGGGCACTCCTTTAAAGGCAAGGAAGGGCAACAATATTTTAAGTCAAGTGATAGCGATTGCTGTATGAGTCGTGTAATTTTTTAATCGAGCAAGGGCAAAGCTGGGCCATGCTGCTAGTTTTCTATAAAACTTTGTCGTTGCTCACAAGTTCAGTTCCATGATATTTTCAGCATCCCTCTGTAGAACCACATTTCAGTGGCCTCAAGTCACTTCTTCATCTTTTGAGAAGATTGTCCAGCATTCACTGCCATATAGGAGAACTGATATTATATAGCAGCTCAGTACACTTTTCATCTGTTTCTAAGAAAATTTTCCTGTTTCTTAATACTTTGCCTAACTTTTGAAAAGTACCTTTTGCTCTCCCAATATGCCTTCAGATTTTAGTTTCACACTTTCCATCCTCTGCTAAAATGCTTTCCAGATATTTAAATTGTTGTACTTGTTTGATTTTGGTATCTCCAATTTCTAATTTGCATATTGGGCTGTTCTTTTTGCTAACAACCATGCATTCTATCCCCTTGCAATTGATGTCCTTTCTTCTCACTTTCCTTCACTACCCTCTGTAGGAGTTCTTGTAGCTTCCTTTCTGTGTCTATTATCAACACTGTTCACATGTAAATTATCTAAATAATGATAACTGCTCCTAAAAATTCAAACAGAAAAACTCACATTTTAATATGATTGTTTCTTTTCAATTAACGCATTGTTTTTTGTTTTTTTTTATCTTTCTACAGGAATGACAAACAGAGATGTGATATCATTTTTGGAAAGAGGAGATAGGCTCACAGCTCCTAAAAACTGTCCCCAACAAATTAATGATATTTTGAAATATTGCTGGAAATCAAATCCTTCAGAACGGCCAACCTTTGCCTACCTATATGATTTCTTTGAAAATTTCGAAGCATCAATTGAATGTTCATATGATTAGGCCACAAAAATATTACTTTAAAATTTTGATAAAAAAAATCAACTAAAATTAGTTGAATATTCATATGATTAGGTCACAAAAGTAATACTGTACAATTTTGAAAAAAAAAAAGCTTTTCTGAAAATAGATATAGTCCTAAAAGCAAATTTTTGGAAATATTTAAAAATTTCATTAAATTTTTAAAACAAATCAGACTTGCTCCTAAAATATTTTTGTTTGTTTGATTTTACTATTAAGAATTACAAATATTTCTAAGTTTTGTTTTTTAAAAAAAATGACACTTAAAAAATTTATAATAGCTTTCAACTCTTTGTTTACTTTTCAAACAATATTTGATGCAAAAATCTATTTAAATTGTATTATAATTTGTTGTAGAGCAATGTTGATTATTCACTCTGTTTTAAATTTTTATTGAATCATAATTTTACACAATTGCTTGCACTTTAATTAAATATTATTGCAAAAAAGAAAAAACATAAAAAACAAATTATTTGCTTAAAGTAAAAACTGGGGATATTGTTTCCTTAAATTAATTAAAACTTTTAAGTCTTTGAATTATTTTTAAAAGCACAAAAATAATTCACATCATTGAAATGCAATGTGGATTTTTTTTCCTTGTGTGTTTTTAATAATTTATAGCCTTACTCTAAACTTTTATTTCATTTAATAATTATGACTTGTAAAAAGAAGCCTTGTCTACCAAAAATGGCTATAAAACAAATTTTATTGCATAATAGTATTTGAATATGAGTTAAACAATTATTGCACATTTATAAAGACTTTTTGTCGCAACAAAATACTTCTATAAAAATGTAATCTAATGAATATGTATATGTATGTATGCCTGCCACTGTCAAGGCTGACAATGGGTGTAACAACTTTTTTTTTTATTTTTTAGAGTTAGGAAAATGGTCCACTCATTAAAAAGAAACAACAAAAAAAAGATTTTTGTACCTAATTTTCATTTTGCATTTATTTAACCTTCCTCTAGGTGCAACATTTGAAAGAATTAAAAAATATATTTTTTATCATTTTAAAAGCAGGGTCCTGTTTATAATATAAATACTGTGTCAAAATGATCCCTGATTTTTTAAAGAGTTTTCATTACTTGGTTTTTATTTATAAATGTCTACACAATTGATAACTATAATACTGATTGTTATGAATAATCAAGAATGGTTTCCCCTTGTTTTGTTACTCTCCTCTTTGAGAGAGCTATTTCTGTTTAGTGGGACTATAAAAAGACACTATACGCAAATCTTGTATTCTCAGTTAAATAAAACTTTTTTAAAGCCTTCACCTGCATACTTTTGTCATTACACAGATGTCTTTTTTTTTAATTAGGGATTTTCATTTTTAGTTAAACTTTTTGCAAAATAGATTGGTTTTTACATGCAATGAGTAAATTTAAATGTATGAGGTGTATTTGTTTATGTTAGCTTTCTAATTGAGCGAACTGTGGTGTATGAACTATATGTCACCAATAATATATTGAACCTGAACTGTTCTCTACAACCCTAACAAAAATATCTTTCTTCTTTTTTTTTAAATCATTTCATCTTAGACATGGCAATAAAGCCACTAAGATGTAAGGGCTTGCTGAGAATATGCAGTTCCATAAGCAAAAAGTGAAAGAAAAGAAACTGTTAGCAGAGAACTTAGTGTCGTAGAGTAGTTTTCACAGTGGAGGCTTGTATTTCACTAAGTCAGTCCTAAATTAGGTTCGACATACAAAACATTAGGAACTTGAAATAACAGTTAACGATGCAGCAATCTAGTTGTGGTGATGATACTTTAATGTCCGACATTGACTGACTAACTCAACACCACTGAGCCCCAACTGGTCACTGCTACTACTACTTATTATCTGTGGGAGAGTCTATTTACAATACAGTAGGTATGATCTAGTATAACACTTAGTTACATCTATCCACTTGAAGTGTAAAATAATGAAGCCTTGCCACCAATCTAGTACTGTGCTTAAATCCATAAAGTCTAGGTAACAGAATAATTACCATAAAAATATTTATAAAACGCCACAGGGAAGCTATGCTACGGCAGTGGGGAAGTGACAGAATCCAAGATGCCTGATCAGGTCTAATAACATTACAGATTCTTTGTATTTCATCAAGAATCTCTAAATGCATAGTAAAAGCTCCAGACCTGATGTTGCAGCAATATAGATACCATGGAAAAATGGTAGAATTATAAATGTGCAAGATAGATTCTGGTTCTAAAAGATTTTTGTTAAACAATTTCTCATTTTAAATATTTTTAAATAAATCATATAAAAATGTATGAGAATAAATCTTTCTCTCTTCATCTATATATATATATATATATATATATATATATATATATATATATAAAACATTGAAGTCAAGACTTAGAGGTGACTGGCTGTTTCATGCTAGATGCAATCGTCAGGCCACGATGATTGCGTCTAGCATGAAACAGCCGGTCGCCTCTAAGCGTGGACTTCAATGTTCACTTTTATATTTATACATGGTCTATCTCTGATATTGAGCATTTTATCCCATAAATATAGCACACCTTAAGAGTATATTTCTTATATATATATATATATATATATATATATATATATATATATATATATATATGTATATATATACGTTTGATTAAAAAAGAACCAACAAGGCCAGTTCTTTTTAATCAAATTTGTCATCTAAATACACCTTATATGAATAAATGTATATATCTGTTCTTCATTGAAGTGGGTACAGTTTCAAATGACATTTGTAAATAAAAACAAGGTAAAGATAGCTAAAAAAAATTGAGATCAATTTGATACTGTATTTATATTATGAACAGGACTCCACTTTTAAAATGATATTTTTTGGCTTTGACAAAAATCACTGGTAGAAGAAAATCTAATGAATACTAATCAACAAAAATTAGTTACAACAATTATTTTCCCTATTTTTTTACAAACAGACCATTTTCCATAAGTAGTGCCAGTTATTACTGCCTGGTTGGTAGTTATAGGAGAGTGGTTTGACCAAATTTTTACTCAGCTACTTCAACAATCATCATTGCATGCTTAAGACAATTTATTTTTGTCAAGATATCCGGTGACAACATAGAACACAGAGAAAAGCAAATTCATACTTTTCTCAGATTATTATTGCTAAAGAAACATGCTCTGCCTCAGCTGAAATTTGAAACTCATTTGCTGACTCTGTTCTCTATATTGATGACTGCTATTCCATCAATGTCATTACAGAATTAATATTTTGGTATATTCAAGGATAAATCAAGAAATAAAGGAAACTTGACCTTTATTTACACTGGTGAAGAACAAAAGCATATGTCAACTTTTATAAATAGACCCCCTGCACATTGATACACTTCTGGTATCCCTGAATGAGCTTCTTTGTCCTTTCCAAAAAGAAGATTTTTCAGTTGTTCACAAAGCTATGTCGGCACAGCTTGCTTGTTTTGGACATGCAGCACATAAACTTTATGTTAAACCAAGTCATCATGACCTATGGTTTATGCAGATCCATAGCTGCTGACCACAATTGCCACCACTGCTAATATGATTCCTTGGACTTACCCTGATCAAGACCTCCACTCTCTGGATATGTTCTTCTACATATGAAGTTGTCGGGGTGGGGATAACGATATCATAATTTTTACCATTACACTTATTCTTTCCAATTTTAAGCATTCTACCCACTCATACACCTTATATTGATTCAGGGCACATACTCTGTACTCTATGAACATCCGGTGATGCATTTCTATAGGTTTGACTCCCTCTTCTCACAAAAGCACCCTACAGTGCATTGTTCCTTGATGGTGCAATCGCTGAGTCGTGCATTCATATGTCTGAGCCCATTGCTCCTTGCCACTTGACTGAATGACAGATTGCTGCATGCAGCTACCGACCCGTCATCATATGCACATGCATCCCACATCAGTGTCTCTATGTTGTTATTACCACGTAATTTCAAAATTGCCTTTACTCTCATAGTTAAACTGTATTATAAAAAAACTATTAATATAGTTGGAATTAACATGATTTATTTTTGGAATTGTTAATTGCACACTTAGGCTCTAAATAAAATATTTTTATAATATTATATATTTTTATTTCATATTTTCAAATTTAAATTTACTCATTTTAGAAAATATCTGAAGTTGAAGGCAAAATATTTTTTCTTATATATTAACTTTTTGTTTATACTTAGAATCAGAAAGAGATAGTTTAAATTTCTAGGGCATGAGGAAAGAGGGCTTCAAGAATTTGACACTCACATGACATATTTATGGCAAGAGAGACAGAAGAAAGCAGCAAGTAACCTACCTAATGAGTCTGTGTATATGGTTGGTAAAACAGGAGAGATGGTAAAAAGGAAATTGTGGAGAGTCATGATTGTCCTCATCCCGAAGGGATATGACACATAGAAGAAGATATTTTTGTTATTCATTCAAATTGTAACATACACTAAAAGTTGGATTTATTAAATTCATTTTTTTTACTGTACTTCATGAACCAAAATAAAATGCAGATATATATATATATATATATATATATATATATATATATATATATATATATATATATATTATAAATTAATTGATTTAAAATTTTTTTTCTACACAGTTCTAAGCATGTTTCAAAAATTGAAGCTAAAAGCTTCGAATTTAATTTTGTAATTAAATTAAAGACATTAGTTCCATTTAATCCTCAAGCAAATTTTGAACTCCAAAATTTACTTGAGGATGAAATGGAACTAATGTCTTTAATTTAATTACAAAATTAAATTCGAAGCTTTTAGCTTCCATTTTTGAAACATGGTTAGAATTGTGTAGCGAAAAAAAACATATTTTAAATCAAATAATTTAAAATATTAATGCTCTGTAAATTTACATTGAGCACTATTTTGTAAAAATAAAAATATCTATAAGAACACCGGATGTTCTTAGTGTTCTTTCTTTTTATATATATATATATATAGAGAGAGAGAGATATA